TTTCTGAAAGCTGTTAGGCCCACTTCTACCCGATTAACGAGCCTCAGTTTGGGCAATCATTTTCAGCCTGCCCCATGAACCAAAATCATGAGAATTGATCCAATAACAAAATAATAATAAAAACTCATTTTTTAACTTTTATTTCTAGCTGTTTTGTTATACAAGAATAATAACTATACAATGGTTGAAAATGTGCATACCACATTTGCCATATTACCGTTACTTCATTGATTTGGATCGATCTTTGCCATAATTTCATGCTCATTTTTATCATCGTTCGTCTTTGCATTTGATGATAAAACGATAAAAATGCGAATCACGGTCCACCTCACGACCGAGGAGAATAATAACTACACAATGATTGTTAATGTACATGCCACATTGGCACATACACTATGGTATCAAAATCTAAGTTGACATTTCATAGTGGAGAGATACGGTTCCAACTTCCAAATTTAATGTAAAAAATTACATTTGAAGGCGTTTTCTTGTTCAGTTTGTCGCCATAACTTTTTTGTATGGAATTATACTGCCATTTGTAAGAAAATAATTATGACTAGATTCTCTCCATGCATTACTTTTCTTCATTCACAATCATTAGCTCTCGAAGCACAGTTTCGTCTATCACTTTGGAATGTATGAATTAGAAGACCCTACCACGGAGTTACAAAGGATCATCGAAGAAGACATCTTGGGAGTAAGCTTCCCTAGACAGGCGATTCAGAGAAGCCCCTGATGGTAGGAGAGTTTTATGTGCTTCTCCTGTGATTGCCATTATGGCTTTCTAGCAGCTTTTGTTGTCCCTGTTCGTTTTCTGGAAGCGATAATCTAGTTGGGCTCAAGCTCCTGAGTCTTTGATGTATTGTGGTTGTTCAATCCCCCCCCCCCCCCTTTTCAATAAAAAAGTTATTGATTTGTTACCTTAATGTTTGTCGATTTTCCTATATAAATCACTAAGAAATTAAGTATTTTCTCCATCCAATTTTTCTTCTTTACATCTCTCTCCAAAAGCTTAGCCTTTTCCTCCCAGACCAACCCTTCAATATGGCTTTCTTCGGTGTATTCAACTCGATATCATTCAATTCTACTCCCGAAGGTATCGTCCCAAATCAAGATTCGATAGATTCTTGTAACTACGGCCCACTCCTCTGCCTCAGCCTTGCTTGTTTGAATATTCCCACGACAATTGCACTCAAAGAGAAAGAGCATTTGAGCACTTCTATATCAGGTCTATTCGATGTCAACAAATTCATCACAAAGTCCAAGAAAACGTATGCTATAGCATACAAATTTTGAGCACACAATCACATGAATATGTTCTGTACGCTGAAACAAAATTCTCTTTCTGAAAGCTGTTAGGCCCACTTCTATCCTATTAACGGGCCTCAGTTTGGGCAATCATTTTTAGCCTACCCCATGAACCAAAATCATGGGAATCGATCCAATAAAAAAATCATAAAAAAAACTCATTTTTTAACTTTTATTTCTAGCTGTTATGTTATAAAAGAATAATAACTATACAATGGTTGGAAATGTGCATACCACATTGGCCATATTACCGTTACTTCTATGATTTGGATTGATCTTTGCCATAATTTCATGCTCATTTTGATCATCGTTCGTCTTTGCATTTGATGATAAAACTATAAAAATGCGAATCAGGATCCACCTCGCGACCGAGGAGAATAATAACTACACAATGATTTTTAATGTACATACCACATTGGCACATACACTATGGTATCAAACTCTAAGTTGACATTTCATAGTGGAGATACGGTTCCAACTTCCAAATTTAATGTAAAAAATGACATTTGAAGGTGTTTTCTTGTTCAGTTTGTCGCCATAACTTTTTTGTATGGAATTATACTGCCATTTGTAAGAAAATAATTATGACTAGATTCTCTCCATGCACTACCTTTTTCATTCACAATCATTAGTTCTCGAAGCACAGTTTCGTCTCTCACTTCAGAATGTATGAGTTAGAAGACCCTACCACGGAGTTACAAAGGATCATCGAAGAAGACATATTGGGAGTCAACTTCCCTAGACAGGCGATTCAGAGAAGCCCCTGATGGCAAGAGAGTTTTATGTTCTTCTCGTGTGATTGTCGGTATGGCTTTCTAGCAGCTTTTGTTGTCCCTGTTCGACTTCTGGTAGCGACAAGACCAGTTGGGCTCAAGCTCCTGAGTCTTTGATGTATACTGGTTGTTCAAACCCCCCCCCCCCTCAATAAAAAAGTTATTGATTTGTTACCTTAATGTTTGTCGATTTTCCTATATAAAGCACTAAGAAATTTAGTATTTTCTCCATCCAATTTTTCTTCTTTACATCCTTCTCCAAAAGCTTAGCCATTTCCTCCCAAACCAATCCTTCAATATGGCTTTCTTGGGTGCATTCAACTCGATATCATTCAATTCAACTCCCGAAGGTATCGTCCCAAATCAAGATTCGATCGATTCTTGTAACGACGACCCACTCCTCTGCCTCAACCTTGCTTGTTCGAATATTCCCACGACAATTGCACTCGGCGAGAAAGAGCATTTGCGCACTTTTATATCAGGTCAATTCGGTGTCAACAAATTCATCACAAAGGCCAAGAAAATGTATGTTATAACATACAAATTAGGAGCACGCAATCACATGAATATGTCATGTACACTGAAACAAAATTCTCTTTCTTAAAGCTGTTAGGCCCACTTCTACCCTTTTAACGGGCCTAATTTTGGGCAATCATTTTCAGCCTGCCTCATGAACACAAATCATGGGAATCGATTCAATAACAAAATAATAAAAAATTGTTTTTTAACTTTTATTTCTAATTGTTATGTTATACAAGAATAATAACTATACAATGGTTGAAAATGTGCATACCACATTGGCCATATTATTGTTACTTCTATGATTTGGATTGATCTTTGCCATAATTTCATGCTCATTTTGATCATCGTTCATCTTTGCGTTTGATGAAAAAACGATAAAAATGCGAATCACGATCTGCCTCGCGACCGAGAAGAATAATAACTACACAATGATTGTTAATGTACATGCCACATTGGCACATACACTATGGTATCAAACTCTAAGTTGACATTTCATAGTGGAGAGATACGGTTCCAACTTCCAAATTTAATGTAAAAAATGACATTTGAAGGCGTTTTCTTGTTTAGTTTGTCGCCATAACTTTTTTGTATGGAATTATACTGCCATTTGTAAGAAAATAATTATAACTAGATTCTCTCCATGCACTTCTTTTCTTCATTCCCAATCATTAGCTCTCGAAGCATAGTTTTTGTCTATCACTTCGGAATGTATGAATTAGAAGACCCTACCACGGAGTTACAAAGGATCATCGAAGAAGACATCTTGGGAGTCAGCTTCCCTAGACAGGCGATTCAGAGAAGCTCCTGATGGCAGGAGAGTTTTATGTGCTTCTCGTGTGATTGCCAGTATGTTCTAGCAGCTTTTGTTGTCCCTGTTCGACTTCTGGAAGTGACAAGGCCAGTTGAGCTCAAGCTCTTGAGTCTTCGATGTATTCTGGTTGTTCAAACCCCCTCCCCCCTCAATAAAAAGTTATTGATTTGTTACCTTAATGTTTGTCGATTTTCCTATATAAAGCACTAAGAAATTAAGTATTTTCTCCATCCAATTTTTCTTCTTTACATCTTTCTCCCAAAGCTTGGGCATTTCCTCCCAAACCAATCCTTCAATATGGCTTTCTTCGGTGCATTCAACTCGATATCATTCAATTCAACTCCCGAAGATATCATCCCAAATCAAGATTCGATCGATTCTTGTAATATTTACATAGCAATGCTATATAATAGTTACCTAGATCAAACATAAAACTTTCTAAGAGATAGTTATTTCTTATGTATCACTTGAACAAATTTATGACATAGTTCATTCTTACTGATCCAGACACTTACGCTCTGTTTGGCAACAAGGGGTGCAAATTGCAATGGGGGTGCAAGTTGAGTGGTAAATTGCTGGGGGGTGCAAATTGTTGTGGGGTGTAAGTGGAGGGGTAAATCTTTGTTTGGATGAAAAAGTAGGGGGTGCAAATAGAGTGAAAAGTAAGTAATTATATTATTTTAAAATAGATTTTAAAATTATAAAATATTATCACAAAATAATAAAATAATAATAAATATATAATAATAAATATAATTTAATAATAATAGTTATTATATAATAATGCTCAAATAATAATTAATTATAACAATTATAATAATCATTGATCGAGCGATCTCAAAACTCGAAGCTCAACTTGTAATTGGTCATCCTATATAGGTTTTCGTGTCTAGTTTAATCTTAAATTGGCAAACTTAGTCAAACACGTTCGAATTTGTAAGTTTTAACTATTTAGTCAAATAAACTGAGTTAACCAAACAATTTATCTGTATCTTTTCCACAAACACTTTGTATCTCTAATTTTCAATGCAAATTCGAGTCAACCAAGAGATCTAGATTTGACTTGACGAACATTGATAAACTTATTTCCAGAGTCAAATGGTCAACCCCGAATAATGTCTACATTAATGATATTTATAAGAAAATAAATGGATAATATTAATTATTATATAATTATATATAACACAATTAGAAAAACAAAATTTCATAATTTCCCCCTCCCCCCTCGGCCCTCCCCCTCTCTTCCTTCCTTTCCATGTACCACAATTTGGGGGTAAGGCGAAACAGTAAATTTGCACTCCCGTTTTGCACTCCTACTGTTCCAAATTAATCAAACAGGTGCAAATATGTTTAAAACGGTGTTTACCCCTCACATTTGCACCCTCCTCCCATTTACCCCTCTTCCCAAACAGAGTGTAAAGTAAAACTTATGAAGCTATCTTATCCAGCTTTTGTGAAATATTTGATGTCTACTAAATCATTAAATAAGTGAATAATAATTGAGAAACCAAACAACTTCACTCAAAACAGAAAAGAAACCAAATAACTTTCACAGAAAATAATAATAATTGTTTTTTACTTCACAATCTTTTTTATTTAGTATTTTTTTTTTTGGATAAAAAACCCTTGCATCCAACGTCCATACAAGCACACTCTTGAGTCTTGATTGACCATACTTTAAGTAAAACACACTAGATAAGAATTAAGATACACAGAAGTTGATGTGTGGAAACACAATATCCAATCGAGCGCAAGCAGAAGCACACCATGGATAAAGAAAGCGTAATGATCGCATTGCATACGTATATTGAGAAGCGTGATAGATATCAACTCGATATGAAATTGACGATCGATGTCTCCATCAATCAACCGGCTTTAGCAAGGCTTGCATCAACCTCCTTGACGAAGAGGACAACGATGTTCATGTACTTGGTAGGAGGCGGCACACTCGGATCCCGCTTCTCGTACTCGATCGACAGTTTCGCCGCCCCCTGCTGCTTCCCCTCGCCGTCGCCGGCCACAAATTCAAAGATCGAAGTGTACACTTTGTAGAGCTTCATCAAATCCCCCTCTAGCCCATTCAACTTCATAGTTCTTTTGGCATCGTCGTACTCCACCCTCTCCTTGAACACTTCCATCTTCCCCTCTGTTTTTTTCACATAATGAAAACCAATATAAACAAAAAAAAAAAAAAAAAGAACAAACAGAGTGGGCAAGATCTTAAATTTTGCTTCATTTTTCGGCAATGGTCCCCCTGCAATGCGGTTAGCGATTAAAATCGCTAACCGTTTGCGGAGTAGTCACGGTTGGCGTATATGAATCTGTTTCGATTTGCGGTTAATCGCAAACGCACCGATTCCCAAGCACGCACATACGTACCGCAAGTGTAGATCCAGAACTTGACGGTGCCATGAGCGTCCCATTCGCCCTCGTGGACCTGCACGCCCTGAATGTGAGTCGGGGAGTGGCTTGGGAGTTCGTGGCCTGACTTTCTGAACACCTCGTAAACCTTCTCCGGCGAGCAATGCAGCTCCACCTCCGCCTCCAGCTTCCCACTCATCGTCGCCGCCGCCGCCATGGATTTAATATCTGTTACTAATTTCCTGCAAGAAGAATGCTATGCGTACAAATCAGTACAATTAACGATTTAGCTTAGCTTGAATTTATAGAAGAAGGAACGCTATTGCTACATTGGTAACGATTTCGAAGCGTACAGACTTTTTTCTCCAATGGTCCTCTGGTCGCATCACCATAATGGCTGCCAATAAAAAATCAATCAATCATGCAATGTTTGGATCAAATTAGAGAGGACCAACAACAGTGTGATTGTTATTTGTGGTGGATGGAAGTCGGCAACGCGTATACAACAAAAGGCTTTAAAAGGCTCTCTGCTTTCCGCCATTTCTGCAGTTGCTGAATGCAGCGCATTGATTTTGAGGAAGACATCTTCTACAGTTCCAGGTCCAAACACATCGTAATCTGATCTATAATCTGGTTGGTTGAACCCGGCAGCTGCAGTTATTTACGCTCCGCCTCGTCGCTTTGTCGACTTGCTTGCACTACACGTCCCCCTTCCCTTCCAACCAGATAACCACTCCACTCTGTTTTGGTCAGAAACAGGACGTTCGTTCGAAGGCCCTAAAAGAATCGTAGTTAGTTCGGTATCGAAGGACTGGATCATTACAATCTCTCTCGTACGTAAACGAAGAGGAAGTGAGTGGGCGCGGGTAGGGCAAGAACTCCACCATGTGAGTTTACACTCATGATAAGCATGGGGAAAATGGTGTGTTATTTTCAGAGAGATGCAGAGTTGGGCGAAGAAATCGATGATGACGATAAGGGCGTGTTTTGTTTACCCTTCACCGCCGGGGAAAGGGTTTCTTCAACCTAGTCGGAGGGTTCACAGTGTACTAACCAAAGCTCGATCGCAGGAACTCTGGCTCAAATTGAAGTTTACGTTCCCGTTTTAGCGATCAAATGACACGACAAACAAGTTGGATGGTTTACCACAAAGATACAGGCTTCTCAAGAGATAACAGAGGAAAATACAGTGGTGGTTTGCTTGGTTCCCTCCAATCTGCCACAATTTTCTTCCCCTGGCTTAAAAGCTGGAGTCCTCTGTTGCTGGCCTCCTCAAGAAGTAGTGCAAGCTGTTAGCAAGAACCTGGCCAAGGATTCACATCCCGAAGTTGGAAAGCACATTCTATATCAGAATCACTAGGATAGGCAAGAAGTCAGCAGCAACGAGCTGCTAATGATTTTCAAAGAGAAAGAAAAAGCAAAGAGCTATTCATGTCGAGACTACGAAAGGCTTCATCTCTCGCTAAATCTGTTTCATGCCCAATCAGCAGATAATTTCTTCCAAGTAAATCCAAGCATCAAGATATAAACTTAGCAGACTTGACACATGCCAAACCTTTCTTCTTGGATTATGTTGGTGTTTAGCAAACTACAGCATTTTGATGATGAAGCATATACGAATCTGAACACTAGCAGGAACCAGGAAGACGCTATGTGGTTCTTTTACCTGTTGACGAGGCTTGGGGACAGCTTTGCCATCGTAGCTGATATGAAACTTCGATCTGGCCAACAAACCCTGTACAACAAAACAAGGATCGCCGGTGAAAACATTATTTTAAATCTTAAGAAACAAAGACAAAGGAAAGGCTGTCATATATCGTTAAACACTTGTACCTCGGTGTCAAACTCTCCTGATTCAACCGCGATATTGGTGTCATTGATGACCTTCACCAGATCCACCAATAAACCAGGGCGATCAGCTGTCTCCACATTCAATAAGCTGTCTCAAGAAAAAAGAAACAGATGACTTTCTTTCTCAGCAATATTGTTCACATGCCAATGGTTAATCCTTCACACATACTGAACAAAATTAAATAGTAATGTTATTATCTTCCATTCAAGCTTTAACAGGGGTGGAAAATTCCGAGGTTTTTACTGGTCCCAAGATCAGAAAATCAAAACAAAATTGGAAGTCATGGTGCATTTACTATGTTTTTTTCTTGGTTACATTCTTGTCCATAATAAAGATGCATACACAAAACATATCTGCTTCTCCCCTGCAGGAAATGCTGATCCAAAGCAAGTCTTTCGTCTTAAAAGTAACAGGAACTGGAGTAATTTTGTGATCGTGATTGTATACGTGTGACTTGGTTAAGTAGTTACAAAGCCACACATAAGCTGAAATTGAAGAATTATTATCTCTGTAGCAACAGCCAAAATGCATGACCTATGTTATCACAATATAATCACCGTGTTACACGGCATTTACCTGACACAAGCTTGAAAAACTTAGTCACACGACAAAGATATTAAAAATGGCCTGGTGAACTCATTACCTTCGGTTAGGACTTTCATTTGAGATGGTTATATGGGTTGCGATGTCCACGTCTACCTGATAATTGCAACATAAGTCTTAGCAAGTCTGGTCACATCACAAGAAAGAAATCCCCCAGTAACAAAGTAGAAATATAGCTGGTGCCCTGTGACTGCTTACCCCAAGACTCAGATCTTGAAAAGAACATCACAGAGAAGGGATAATGGCCAGAAATTTTACAAAGTAATATTTGAAAAAGAAAAACCAATTAGAACACCTGCTGATTTGGTGGTTGTGCACCAAAGAAGACTCCCATCGCTAATTTACTGCTTGATTCCTGGAACAGAAATGACGGTAATCAAATTAGATGAAACATAGCACATTGGATACACGAGAATTAAAAGTTAATCACAAGATTATGTATGACATACTGGGTGATACTTGAGTAGATTGTTAATTATTGTACAGCGAATTGCCTCAAGGAGCTCTGGATCTTCAACCTTCCTACCACTGTCACTGCAAAGCCAAAAAGGCTCCAATGTTATTCAAACAGAAGCTTCTGTGCATAATTCTTCAGTGCCGAATTAAACAACTAGAAAAAAGAAAGCCAGCAGTAAAACATATCTTAGCCAAGTTGACACAGAATTCAAATAAACGGATCTTCCAGTGACACAAAAACCCACATCTCAACTATTCTAGTACTCATTTCCCTAGCAAGTCTCGAACTCTGAATACGAAACCACATTTTCCAGGCAACATGGGTGGATATTTCCATTGCACAAGCCACAAAGTAGTGCATCCACCCACAAAATCCCATACTGACAATATTTCAAAACTTGGAACTATTAGCGGCTAATTCCAAATCTTGTATTCCAACCTGTCATAACCACAGACATATTTGCAGAGATCGTCAACTCCCCCTTCCAAATTAAAAAATATCCAGCCTTATAAAACAACCAAGCAGATTCCATTAGTATCTCATATTCCCCCCTTTATCTACTTGAACAAAAAGTTACACACAATTTTAGGGCTTCTTCTCCTAGGAATATCGAATAAAATGCATCCAAAATCTATATGCATATGTTGAGACTTAAGCTCCTGTTTCTTTTGATTGAATAACAACCTAAACCATCAGCTTTTGAAAACTCAACTAAGCCTTTCTGCTCATGTTTACTTCTTCCTCTTCATTATGACATAAAGCTTGCAGGATTACGCATTCAAATAATTATGATGGATGATGGAAAGTTTAACAACAAAGAAATAGAAGCTTGAGCTCTTCTAATGCCTCCGTGGTCTCATAAGCTAATATATATTACTTGGAGTTCAGAGATACACACCCTTAGGTTTAAACCTCGAAGTTAGCGGTCATCATAAAACAAAAGCAACAAAGAAAAGACAGAGCGACTAATTTAACAACTTGTAAAAGCAGCTAGCAACTTACGCTTTAGTGATGGCAAATCTGTTATGCTTCCCAGAAGAATCCAAAAAAACATTACCCTTCACTACATTTAGTCCAAGGTTTTTTAGTGCTGTCATCTGTCCAACAAAAAAAAAACAAACACAGTTATTATGCAGATCACCGAAAAGGAAAGACCAAATGAGCACTGTCGTCACCAAGCAAGTAGCACTCACCGTATCCACAAGTGCTCCAAGGCGATCACCAAAGGTAACCTCAACAACAGTTGCGTCTGGATCAGAGTCCAGGTCGATTATCACCTTGGGAGTCGGCACTGCATCCATATCATAGTAACTCCCATCCTGTTCATAAATCATTCACATACAAACCCAATTCAAAGAACCCATTACCTCACACCCTATCCCATGTCTAAAAACAAGAAAGATGGACGAAATAGGATAAGTGCTGCCCCCAGACCTCAGCAGCAGTGGTTTCTGATGCTCGGGGAGCAATTATGTTCCTAGAACACGACAATCTGCAACCAAGTTGATGCATATGAATGGTCCGCACAGAATGACCAAAATAATGGACCTACTAGTGATAACTTAGTTTGGAAACCAAAAACAAAAGCAAACAAAAAAGATTTGCTCTTCTTTTGGCCAGTTGCCATAGAACTTCAACCAGCCTACAGTTAATCAAAGATCATCCCCATTCAAGCTAGAAACTTTTTCAAGGTTTGACTCCAAACCCCAACTATCAAAAAGCTAAATCACCCTGAAATTTAGAATACAAGCTTATTATGAGTTCATGATCCACAAACCCTTAAACCCATTCAGTTCAGTGACGATCAGCAGGATTCATCCAACGATCTAGAAGGAAAGACAAGAACGACGAAAAGGTTGAGAGAAAAGGGAGATTGCGGCGACTGCAAGCCGAAGTGAACGAACCTAGCAATTGAATTAGTCGATGGAAGAGGCGATCGAGTGGCGCCAAAGCTAATGAAGGAAGCAGAAGGAAGAGCTGCCACGGCTTTGCTGGTTTTGGTCGTCGCAGAGGGAAGACGGAAGTTGGTGGCATGAGCGATAGAAGCTGCGGCAGCCATTTTCGATGACGACAGCTATCTGCTTCCTATTTTCCCCACCCGCTGTTGTAAGCAAAAGTATCAATCACTCTCCCCTCTTCCACCTTGACGCGCCAAATAACACTACACTACTACAGTCGAGCCGACATTATACCAAATCCAAGCTACCGCAAAAATATGTCACATTCGTCATTAGGTTCTCTCCCTCTCTCCTTTTCTTTTTCTGGCTCCTTCGCCATTTTTCAACTTCAGAACAGCACAAGACCAGGAAAGAAATTATATATAAAAAAAAGACCAGAAAATAAATAATTGTAAAGAAATTACACAAATGAGATAATATAAACAACAACAATAATAATAATTTTATCGGATATCTCGAATCAATGAGTGTGAACTGTGAACCATATTGAAAGAAATTTATTAAAAAAAGTTAGATGTACAATATTTTGTATTAAAAATCAAAACTGTGGTTTAACTAGGGGTGTTCAAACGGTGTGGTTACCATGGTAACCGTTTTAACCAGTATTATTTGGATAATTTGGTTTGGTTAATTTGGATAATTGGTTTGGTTTGGTTAAAGTTTTTACCTTGTTTGGTTTAGGTGGTTTGGTTTGGTTTCAGACACTCCTAACTAGCCAAACCAAATTAACCAAATAAATAATTAGCCATATATCTAATATATACACATACTTAATACTTTGAATAACCACTCAAGAGTTAAACGTTCATTCTTTTAGATCATAAAATATAAAGGGCTAAATTACACATTTGGTCACTCGAATTACATTAATCTTTCACGTTTGCCACCCAATTACTTGTCTTTCTTATTGGTCACCAACTTTACGAATTGTTTCACCTTTAATCACTCACCGTTAGTCTCCGTTAAATTCCGTTAACACCATCAGTTTTTTGATGATGTGGCAAACAGAACTGCTGACTGTACAATTAATTTATTGAATGGCTAAATGTCGCCTTAAATGATTCAAATCGCCCTAAAATTAAAATGTAAACCATCAAATTACCCTCCTTTTTCCTCTAATCCACCGGCAATGTAAAACCAACTATCATCGAACTCTGCAAATAAGCTACAACTTTGAATCCCGTTCCGAATCTCTACCGGCAAACTCTTCCTTTTACTAGGAGCCACCGCCGTTATGATCAGTAATTCAACACCCTGCTTTTGTTCTTTCAAAATAAATCGCAGACTTGCAGCCTTAAGGGATTTTCACATTTTCGTAAGGTAAGGAATTGTGGCCAATTAGGACAAACAAATTTGCGGAGATAGCGAGATCTTCCATGGCGTCCGTGGAAGAGTTTATTCTCTGATTGGGGTTCAAGTTCTCCGGGGTTGCCAACATATCCCTCCGGTTCAACGGGGGCATTCAAAACCGAACTCCTGTACCAGTGGTTAGCTTCTTCGCTGATCGGTTGACGGCACCCATGTGGGATTAATGGCCAGCAACTTCTTCGCTCATTAGATTAATGGTACAGTCAGCAGTTCCGTTTGCCACGTCATCAAAAAATTGACGGAGTTAACGGAATCTAACAGAGACTAACGGTGGGTGACTTACGGTGAAACAATTCGTAAAGTTGGTGGTCAGTGAGAAAGAAAAATAATTCGGGTGGCAAATGTGAAAGTTTAGTGTAATTCGAGTGACCAAACGTGTAATTTAGCCAAATATAAAGCTTGATATTGTTCCTATAATGTATATTTGTATATGTAGAGTGTAGACCACAACATATGAACGCCTAATTTAGATAAATCTCATACATTATGTTGGATGAAAACTTGAAAGCAAGGTCATTTTCAGTCTATGAAAATTGCTAAAAGACTAAGTCAATTCAAACAAGCACAACAATTCATTAACCCATACCATTGTGATAAATTTTTGTTTGGTGAATACTTCTATACTAACCGTAAGATAATTGTCTTAGTTGCATGTATTTATGTTAAGGGTCAACTATAACTATGCGGTGATTGTTATGTTTTATTCATTATATAAATTGTGAATTGATAAATTAACCAAAATATTTATCACTTAATGATAATATGATTTTATATTGGTTAATCTGGTTAACCAGTTAACCAATTAACCAAACCGATTAAACTTCAGTTTGGTTAATTTGGTTGTTGTATTAGTTTGGACGGTTTGGTTATGATATTGTATTCCATGGTTAATGAAATTTAGTCTTATTTGGTTTGGTAATAACTATGGTAACCATTTGAACACCCCTAGGTTTAACTATTTCATATAGTTAAAACCACCTATCATTTGATGTCTGGTATCCACTATTTTCGATCGATCCGACCAATACAGTAATATTTCTTATAAATAAATTGTTTTATTTATGACTAATGGAGTCTCACACAACATTCATACTCAAACTGCCATCGATTTGTTGAGTGTGGGTATGATGAATCCCAAAATAACATAAGTTAGGGATGAAACTTTTGACCTGACTCGTTTTACCAAACCTGTTTGATTTGTACTCGGACGGAACGAGGCGGGCATGGGTACTTTGCTCGACCGGTCCCGACCCGCCTCATTCTCAACCTGTTTATGCATAAATTACACATGATTATACCCAAATTACTTACTGGAATTCGAACTATAACAACTTTAAAGGAAAAACAAGGATCATAACCAATCACACTAAGTACATTTGTTGTATATTTTTAAATTAAAAACATATAATAGCGGGGAGGAAAAAATCTTTCCCCCATTTCAAATTCCCTGCTCCATGAGCGTTTGTAGGAAGAGTAGAATAGGAAGTACAATTTTTTTTTCCACTTTCCTATGTGGAACGGGCCAACTTTTTTTTTGTACACATGCGGATTTAAACGGGTCCAGGAGTGTCAATTTTATTCTTTAAGACTTTTTATTTCTCCGTGGTGGTAAAATATATATGAAAAGGCAAAAACAATACTCCTTTTTATTGCTAAAAAGAAATAATTAACAATAAACTAATGCATGTATTCTAATGGGCTAACCGCTAACCATAAAATAAAAGAGTTGAATGAGCCCGACCTACACGGAATTTGGCCATCAAGTAAAACAAATGAACATCATGGGTTTGTCATTCTAAAGTAAGATATTTTCTCTAGCTTAATATATATTATGCTATTATTTTATATCTTAGTGGCTAAAATATAATGTATTTTAAAGTTATTCAGTGGTTCAACCTCGACCAACCCAATTAGTCCAATTTTTATCATTTCAAATATATATTATGTAATTATTTGATATCATAATGATTAAATTATAGTGTATTTTATATGGAATCATTTGGTATTTGTTAGTAAAAAACTAAGCAGAAAGATCTATTTGGTTATTTTTAACATTAAAACGATCCTAAACATTTTCAGTTTTCTTTCGAATTTCTATGATTTTATTTCCGAATAAGTGATGTGCAAATGGCAAATTGCAGTCATCTCTTTTCTTTCACTATTTGTTATTTTCAAATAGAAAGTTTAAAAGTAAAGAATAATTAGAGTTTGGCATGGGTCGGTCAAACATGCTGAATTTCAAGTTTTGCCTCGTTTTGATCAAGTCTAATTTATAATCACATGGTTCCTTGATACCCGACAAAAATCTCAATCCAAACCAGTTTGGCAGGGGAGTCCGTGTTACCACCATTTTCTAGGGATACAAGAACGACAGTTCCTATCCCAAATCGTGTTGTTCGTTCTTGATTTCTTTAGATTTTATCATAGTCTGACAAAAACCAGAAAGCACAATAACGACAAGATGAAAGTTTTATCAAGCAAATTAATCGGCCAACAGGCCGAGTAAAAGCTAGCAACGATTGTGAGATGCTCATGTCCCGAAAACCGGCGAATATGTGATTTTTTATTCGAGTTTATGGAATTCAGATTCTATAAAACTTACTCCACCTCATCATATTACTAGAAACAATATTGTTTCACAAGATAACATGTACTTGATTTTGGTTCATAAGGTTGATTTTTTGATTCGTTGCATCATTCATGTCTCTTTCCTACTAAAATTCACTATTTTTATCACGTGTTTCCCAAAAAAGAAACTATACAACAATAAGCTATACACCCTATTAAATTATCAAATTTCATGTTTCACTTTCCTCCGACCAATTGGTCAGGGTTTTACTATACTATATATTGATGAAAAAATCAATATTTATAATATTTTCTATTAAATTACATAGACCGGTCCCTACTCACTCAGAAACACTATAATAAATTGTCTAATTTGAACATGACTTACCATAGAATGAGTATTGAAATCGAGATACCTTGCCTTAACCTGTCCATTGTCATTCCAATTGCAACCGATAGTAATTCAGATTGGCTGGGCTGGGCCTGACCAAACCAGACGAGCTGGGCTGAGCCGTACCGAGCCACGATCTCGGCCCATTCGCTGTAATTCAGATTTCAGATGGACCCTCCTCCGAAAGGTACGGAGCGTTTTGCCGCTTTCCATTCTCCCCGTTTCCCACGCATTCCGGCCCCACCACCACCTCCACTCATACACTGCCTAGAGTAGAGAGAGTAGAGAAAGAGCACTGTAATTCTGTAACAGTAATAGCTAGCAAAACCCACACGAAGCGAGAGCTGCAACTACAAGAGCCAGGCATTCACGTTTTTCATTCGTCGTCCTCCTTCTTCCTCAACAGTCTGCTCTCCGCCATTGCTAGTTGCTGCTCCGCATTTCCCTGGTAACGACATCTCAGCTCTGCTCTCTCGTGCCTTTCGTTTGCGCGTTTTCTCTCGCTCGGCGAACTCGGCTGTTTGTTTCCCGAGAAAAACAATCGACGTCCGTACCGCAAGAAACGCGAGCGAGTGTTCTTGAACTTCATGTACGGACGGTTGTTCTTCGCGTCTGGTACTCTCGGAATGCAGATATTTTTGTGCTCTCTCTGCTTCGCTTATTGAATGTGCTCCGGAGTAGCTTCAATGGCAGCTTGCTCAAGTTCCGCGAGTCCGTTGCCGTACCGCTGGATACGGCGAGAAATTGCGTAGAATACCGTCCTCATTCCCAATTTTCTGATCTTGTTTCTGCGAATCTTGATGTTTCTTCTTTTAGAGCCTACGATGAGACTAGTGCGTGCTTAGAATGTCTCCATTGGCGACGGTCATCCTTGAGTAGCTAGCTTTCTTTCTGTCTCTCTTTTATCTTTCTATATTACTGTTTGCTCCTTGCAACTGTTTCGCTGTTTGTCTAGTCTGTCACACCAGTTACTTCTGCTGCAGGGAAGTTGCTCGTGAGTGAAGATGTCTAGGGTTTTGATGCTTCAGTTGTTGGGGATGCTGTGGCTCTTCTCATGGATGGTGGTCACGGAGGCAGACTCGCCGATATACAAAGATCCGAAGCAACCAGTGGCGGTTCGGATTAAGGACCTAATGAGTCGAATGAAGCTGGAGGAAAAGATTGGCCAGATGGCTCAACTTGACAGATTATCAGCCACCCCGGAGATAATGCGAACCTACTCCATTGGTATGCTAATCCATTTTGCGGTTATTGATTATACACCCTTTGAGTTATTCCAATGGTAGGGCTTGGTGCTTGGAGTACTGTACTGTGCCAATGCAGTGGTTTAGCATTGTAGTCTGTTGAATTTCCATTTTGCACTCTGGACCTGTAATGGGATACCTAACATCACAAGTAGCATTTCATCTGAACTTTAATTTCCCACTATTTTGTTGTTTCTTTGCGTTTATTTCCCTTTTTGCTTGAATTTTTCCTTATTGTGATAAAGTTAAATCATTTTGAAGCTGCCAAACTATGAAAGATGAATGGACTTATCATTCTGCTTCCTGCAGGTAGCGTATTGAGTGGTGGAGGGAGTACACCACTACCTGATGCTACAGCTAAGGATTGGATTGATATGATAAATGGATTTCAGAAGGGATCTGTGTCCAGTCGTTTAGGAATTCCTATGATCTATGGTATTGATGCCGTCCATGGACACAACAACGTGTACAATGCCACAATATTCCCTCACAATGTAGGGCTTGGAGCCACCAGGCAAGTATGAATCTCATGGCTTCATGAATTATATAGGTCTCTTTTGGCAGATGTTCTGCTGCATGTAACTTCCTTTTTTTATGGCTGGATGAATTCCTTCATTTTACGTGATATTTAAGTCACGCTTCTGTGCTTGGTCTGTTCTAAATATGCACTGGTCCTAAAGGGAAACGTTCAGATCAATTCCAGCTTCATATGGTAGGCTCAGCAGTAAGTCTTGATGACATTCTTGAGGTTTTTCTTATATTAGGGACCCAGACTTGGTGAAGAGAATTGGTGCTGCAACTGCTCTTGAAGCTAGAGCCACAGGGATTCCATACGTGTTCGCGCCATGCATAGCGGTATATATAGTGTTGTTTAATGTTATTTTTGGATGAGAAATATTCCCTTACTGCACAAATTGGAGATGGGTAAAGTAAGTCATAAAGTTCTATTTTCATTGTTTCTCATTCTCTTCTGTTGGCATGCCCTTGGCAGGTTTGCAGAGACCCAAGATGGGGTCGCTGTTATGAGAGCTACAGCGAGGATCCCAAAGTTGTGAGAGAAATGACTGAAATCATACCTGGGTTACAAGGAGACATTCCTTCTAATTCTCGAAGAGGAGTTCCTTATGTCATTCCAAAGTGAGAAGAACAACAACTTGAAAGTCTAGTATTTCTGGCAATGCAATACTACTATTGATCTGAGAATGGTTCATTCATATTCTTAAAATCAAACGGCTAATAAGAGGTTTGACATGATGGTGTTTGGTAAAATAACATATTGTAACGTGATCTTAGAGATGGTTTGTTACTAGAGCATTCAAACTACATTTGAGTTGCATTAGTTGTCATTGTATCCCAATAAGCTGTACTTTAACATGGATGTTCCTATGCCGTAGGAACAAAGTTGCAGCTTGCGCTAAGCATTTTGTAGGAGATGGTGGAACAACCAAGGGCGCCAATGAAAACAATACGGTAATAGACAGGCATGGATTATTGAGCATTCACATGCCTGCCTATGTTGATTCTGTGATCAAGGGCGTTTCAACAGTCATGGTATCTTACTCCAGCTGGAATGGGGAAAGGATGCATGCTAACAGAGAGCTAATAATGGGCTTCCTCAAGGGTACCCTTAAGTTTAAGGTTAACCTCTAATCCTATCGATGTTTTGCTTGTAGTAGTTGCTTGGGCTTCCTTTATATATACATCCTTCCCATTCTTAAACGGAAAGGCTTTTTCATGGACCATCCAGCATTTACTGATTCTTCCATTCATTGTACTGTTTATATATTTGAGCATGATTGCGTGTCATTAGATTCTTATTATTCCTTTTAGCCACAATATCATTGTTCTCGTTTAATCGAAGATGTGGAGCCTTCATTTAAAACCACTCAGATTGATTTACCATAGATGCTATTGTGGTATGCCTTAGGGCATTTAGCTGTGTGATACCCAAGATTGAGGTTCCATCTTCAACATGCTAGGTCTGCATGCTTTGTTTAATTTGATATCATGGCTCTGAATTTCTTCAACATGCTAACTGTACTTTCCCTTCCTGGAAAATTTCTAGGGTTTTGTTATCTCAGATTGGCAAGGTATAGACAAGCTTACCTCAACCCCACATGCAAACTACACGTACTCTGTGCAAGCAGGGATTCTAGCTGGCATTGATATGGTTGGTAGTTTTTATTGTAGAAATATCATTTGAGATTGAATTTCAGGGAACTAGTTCGGTATATTTTCATCAATTAAGAGCAGGTGGAAGTGAATGATTTTACTAACGCTGGTTCATTGTACCCAGGTCATGGTTCCCTACAACCATACAGAGTTCATTGATGATCTTACTCTCCTAGTAAAGAAAAATGTCATTCCAATGGACCGCATTGACGATGCTGTTGAAAGGATTCTGCTGGTGAAGTTCAATCTGGGTCTGTTTGAAAACCCTATGGCTGATCTGAGCTTTGCCAATGAACTTGGAAGTCAGGTTGGTGAATCACCTGGTTGTATTGTGCTCAATTGTCTTCCGTGATTGAACCTGTTTCCATGAATGAGAATATGATACCGGATGAACTTTTGGGTACCTTATGAACTATGCAGGGGCACCGAGATTTGGCGAGGGAAGCAGTGAGAAAATCACTTGTGCTGTTGAAGAACGGTAAAAATGAGACTGAACAGTTGCTACCCCTTCCCAAGAAAGCTTCAAAAATTTTAGTTGCTGGTACCCATGCCGATAATTTGGGTTATCAATGTGGTGGATGGACGATTAATTGGCAAGGATTCAGTGGGAACAATGATACTAGAGGTAATATTATTTCCTGCTTTAGTAATGATTCCTGAGAAGCATCTACTGGCTATTCCATTTCTTCGTACCAATGGGTGCACATTGTCAACCCAACCATGCAAAACAATTTGATTACAGATGCCTACACTGGGACCTTTATGAAGTGTATGCACAAAGAGTTATATGCTAAATGATTTGGTGTATATTTAGCAATCCTCCCATTAAAGATTGATGAGTGTCTAAAGGAGCCAGGATACCTAGGAATAACCTAGGGTCTCCTGCTAGTCTGTTTATCGGTATAGAGGCTTTTTATCGGTATAGAGGCTCAGACTGGCACGCCCTAGTGTAGAACTAGTTAGTTATTGGTATTCATATCAAGCCTTGTTATATTATGTGTGGATAACTGTGGCACAACAAACTGGTTATTTACTATTTCAGGAACCACGATCCTTGCTGCCATCAGGGCCACGGTTGATCCAATAACAGATGTTGTCTTCCAAGAGGACCCCAGCAAGCAATTTGTGGACGAGAGCAACTTCAGTTACGCGATTGTAGTCGTTGGTGAGCCACCATATGCTGAGACTGCAGGAGACAGCAGTGATCTGACGATGAAGTTCCCAGGTCCAAGTATCATCAGCAATGTATGTGGCGGATCTGTCAAGTGTGTGGTTGTGGTGATATCAGGGAGACCCATTGTGCTTGAGCCGTACGTGAACGCAGTCGACGCTCTGGTGGCAGCTTGGTTACCTGGCAGCGAAGGGCAAGGAGTGGCCGATGTCCTGTTTGGGGACTTTGGATTCATTGGGAAGCTTCCGAGGACATGGTTCAAGAGTGTGGATCAACTGCCAATGAACCTTGGTGATGCGCATTACGATCCACTCTTCCCCTTCGACTTCGGGCTCAAGACAGGGGCCTCCAATGGCTCCGTTGAAAGGTAGGTAAATGTTAACTAACTGCCTCATTTAAACAGGCTAGTGCCAAAGACCAAAGTAGCTATATTGATTCTTCATTTCGTGTTTGCGCTCTCTCCGTGTCTCCCTATCGCAGGTCGACATCAGATGGTGCTGTTCCTCGGCCATGCGTACTTGCGCTTCTGGTTTCTGCGGTTGTCTGTTTCTGGGTATCGAATGTTGCGTCATCCTTGGGCTTCAGATGAAGGGAGATGAAGACAGTACAAGTATTGAAGTTGTTTTGAGTGAGAGTCAAGGAAGGTCGGTGGATGGGCGGGACTTTTTTGAAGGAGCAGGACAGTTGAGAATAGTGTACCGTAGGATAAGTCGTCGGATCACGTTACATTACATTTGATTGCTTTACATTACATTTGCAATCAACCAAACCAAAACAGGGCCTTTCTGGCAAGACACCTTGGCTTGGAGTTCACTTTCCTTTGAAGTTGGCCTTATGGAGCCAGAATTGACATTTGCTAAAAATGGCTGTGATGCAATCTGACGGTTTATTATTGAAACTCAAAAGAAACTAAATACAAAGTTTCAATTCAAGCCACCAAATCAGGCTCCCACTAACCTGAAAGATAGCAAACAACTTTCACTAACCAACTAAGCTGCTAAACACCTTGCAGCCTAAGACACGATTTTAGACTCCAATTGACCAAATCGACAAAGCACTACACAGCAGCGCTTTATTGAACAAAACGACACAACGGCATTCTTCAACTTCAAATTTGAATCTTGTGCCAAACCACCTTCTTCCTCAGCAACCAAGGACCCGAGCCAGCCTCCAGTTCTTCTTCTTCTTCTTCCAAACAAGCAGCAGCTAGATCATTGTGTTGTTGCTGTTCGACCTCGGGGCTGGGCTAGGAAAGGCTTGAAAGTGAACAACACCCCAATTGCCTCCACCACGTTCAGCACGAAGAACACCATTTGGTTACCTGTGCCACAAGATACCATCCGTCCAACACCAATTCAATCATCTCGTTACCAAACGGACGAAGAAACATACGCAGCCATAATCAACAACTAACTGCAAAATTGAACCAGTCACCATTTACCTGGAAGGAAGGTCGCATCCTGACGCGTTTCACCCCAAGAAAACCTGCACACACACGCCACAGGAACCATTTAGTACATCCCCTCCAAAATGTTTCTTAGATTTTCAACTCCAGCTGTTTGTCTGCTCCTTGTGTGTATGGTGTTACATTTGTGATTCGTCATGGTTAAAAATTTCATTTCATTCTGTAGAGACCTTAAACAGAAGCAAAAGAGTGGGGCAGGTGACTTACAGAGAACCCCCACCAGCAGGACCAGCTGCCTTGAACAGAGACATCGCTGTCATTGCTATCCCATTCGCCGCTCCTCTCTGGTGCTGCTCCTGTTTCGTACATTCACAGCACCGACACATTATTCATGCCCAAAGAAAGATTAACAAAACAAGTAAGAAGGAAAACCAACAAGGAAGCAAGTTTACCACTGCATTGTTTTGTAGCATGAACAAGCCGGTGACAATTGATACCTAGTGGTGCATGGGAGAAAGAAAAAACATAGTCAGGAGCAAGAAGTAACACCATCCTGCTATCGTTAAATGTGATACCATGAAACTACACAGTAATTTATTGTTGTTGAACTTACGGATAGGAGATTCTTCAATACAGATGCACAGTTTAACAGGACAATCAGACTGAAGCCCGACAACTTCGACAAAAAAGGGTAACTTGCCAACAATGGAATGGATAATACCTGTAATTCCAGTTCCAACAACCATCATAAGTTATTTCACAAACGCACCACCAAAAGAATCAAAATGGTCGAGTACTTTCAGGCATACCCAGGCAGAAGAGAAGTTATATCCAGGCAGAAGAGGAGTTGAAATACTTACACCAGCAATGCGGCACACCATTACAGGTCCGAGAAGCCTCTCCGCATATGGATATAGAGCAAGTTGGAACACAAGCAGTCCAAAGCCTACAGTAGTTTCAACACCAATAGTATGTCATCAGCAGAGCGATATCAATGTTATGTATGTAGCTAAAGCCTCAGATATTGTTATTATTAAGCAAGCATTATTTCTGTAGCCTGCTAAGGTTGTGAAAGTTAATATACCTACCTGACACTGCCAGAACTTCACCAACATTCTGCGTCGAGTATCCAAGTCCGCCGAGCTTTCTGGGGCTCACTGCCCACAATGAAAATATCTACATAATACAAAGCAGCGGGTCAAGCAACCTTTTACTCTACCAGATGCTAGTGAAACCTGCCATGTTACTAGTCATCTTACAAGGAAGGGAAAAATGAGCCCTGTGAATATATATCCCATGCCTTTCCAAAGACCACCAACCTCTAAAATCCTTCTCTAGGGATCGAACTAATGGATATGGATAGTAAGTAAGAGGTGATGTACCTCTGCATAAGCCATATCATGAAGAGAGAAGATGCAGTAGACCATGATAGATGACATCAGAGGCCAATTTCTAAGGAGGTTTGCTGGTTGTTTCTTCTGTTCGATAATCGCTACAGTGTTTCCATCATATTCCTTAGACCCACCTTCGCCAGATGCAGTCTCCAAAGCATCATAAGAGTCGTCACATGCTGCCCTGTTTTCCTTATGGTTATGCAATGTTTCCTGTGTACTTGACCAAAATTACACTGGTTATCTTACACCCATATATCTTAAGAGATTCATTTAACATTCTTGATTGAGACTCAATTCAACTAATACAATAAAACAATTTTGATCGAGACAGTTGGGTTAACTTATGAGATAAGAATCAAAGTCCAGCAATCATATGAGAACAGACAGTAAATGTGAGCAGTCAAGATATTCACCGGGAGCCAGAAGGAAGCAATCGTTACTCCAACAGCAAAAACTGATATAGCCAGAGAAGGCAAAAGGTAGGGAAATCTGCATTACACAGAATTTTTGAAACCACCATTAAAAACCATAGACGAACACGTTATGTCAACAGAGCAAAGCTCAAAGGAAAGCCAAGCAATTCACCAACCTCCCAAATAAAGAATCCTTGGAAACTACAGTTGGATATTTCTCAGCTGGCTGCACCAAATACAAGGGAAAATTTTCATACTTAATTAATGATCAAGCACATAAAGTTCATCATTTATGCATCGCTCATAAAATGGTGACCACCTAGAGTGCAAGTGTTATTGCTGCTATTAGTCTATAGTTGCAAACACACAGAAATTATTATATTGTGTACGTACCTGGGCCAGGAAACCTCCTAGAGCTGGACCAATAATCAATCCTATACCCCATGCTGTGCTGATCTGATAGAAGTTAAACTCTATTTAGTCTTTCTTTTTTTGTTTTGCCAGAGTGAGAAGTGTAACAGATCCACAAAGCTACTCACCGTTGACAAACCCAAGGCTTGATGTTCAGCTCTGAACATTTCAGATGCATATGCCTGGAATTCCATTGTGTTTTGGCAGTTAAACTTACTATTTTGTATGCATGTCTTGCTGTGCTGATAAACAAACAACAAAGTACATGGGAAAGAAAAAGAACAACTATACCTTTATTGGACCAAGTAAACCATTCAAGCACCCAAGTAGGAATCTTGTGATAACAGCCATCCAGAAGTTTACACTGAGCCCGAAGATAGTGTTAAAGATAACCCTGACAGAGAGAAATGCATGGCATAGCTCAGGGATAGATGTAAGCATAAAAATGGTCAATGGAGATATAAAAAAAAAAAAACTAGCTGTGAGCACTAACACTGATGAAGTCCCCAAGAGTATAAGAGGCTTTCGACCATAGCGATCGGCCACCAATCCCCAGAAAACAGAAGTCAAAGCTCTACCGAACATAAATGAGGATCCTTCAAAAGATCCAGAAGGAGATATTTAGATTGCTTCATCAGTATCAGTTCAAATAATGTAACAGGTGAACAAAAACTAACATTAGTGCTGCAAACAAACTCACCAACATAACCAGCATAGTAACCTATGTCTTCTTCTTTTTCTGCAATGTTGAAGTCCCTAATCTGAAAATATGAATCAACTATAAATATAACCATATGCTGTAAGAAGAAAGGACGTATACATGGCCAGCTCTGTAACAAAGTGACTGTACTCTGACTTAACAGTGACTCCTTTCCTTGCTTTACACTTATGGAATTAATGACTCACGTAAAGGCTAAAACTATATCTCGATAACTGAAATTCTTATAACTTACACTTCCTTAGCATATGAAGTTCATTTTTATTCAAAGCCAATGATACATACTCAGTATGCTCACCATAAAATAGAGATAGGGAAAGAGAGATGAGATCGGGAGAACTGCAGAGAAAAGAGAACATATCAGTACATTTACATGTGAACCAATGTAAGTACAGAGTAGCTCTGTAAACCAAGAAAAATCTATGACGTTTATGCTACCAACATGGCTAGATGATTTGTTTGAAGGAAAAACCAAAACAAATGAAAACATTGACTGGCAACTAGAACTAAGGGCCTACTGTACCTGTGCAAAGAACAACAGTCCAAATTGAAAGGAACTCCCGGATGGGCAATCCTCTCTTCAACTCTTTCTGTTCATCAACCTTACAACCGGGACAATTCTCATAGTACTGCTTCTTCAACAGTGGCACTGTATGCTCTTCTGCTGCTGCTGCTGCTGCTGCCATCCTTTTTCTTCCTTAGTAGTAGAGTATCAGCCTCTCTTAGATGTGGAACAAGCTCCCCACATTAATATTCCCCACTTTGTCTTATCATAATAACAGCAAGTCAGCAAGAATATATAGAGACTGTAATGTGGATGTTGGAAGGGAGGAACTGATGAACTGATCAATTGTCATCAGTCTCTTTCAGTTTGCGTGATAAAGATTGTGATGGTAATAGAAGCAGGGAGCAGTAGGAGATGCTGATCAGCCATAAACACATCAGACAAGGAAAGGGTAGTTATTACTTATTAGCCCATTGGCATCATGACATTTGAAAGGCGGGTGAAAGCAGCCAAGTCGCACACACACCTACCCGCCCATCAATCATCACTACACACGCCATAAACATGGAGCGGCCAAATTGACAATATAGCTATAAACATGGATATAATGATCTTTCAGGAGCCAAAAGGAGAACCAAAGAGCAACTATGACTCTTCTTCTTGTTCTTCCAAGAATCCCAAGTTTGTGGACCGAAGAGCTAGCTTGATCAATTTTATAACAAGCAATTTATGCATTGGTCAAACAAAATATATCCAGCATGTATATACATTCTACACAGACAGAAAGGGTACAAATCGGCTGCAGACAACACCGGAGAAAACGAAAGCACGGTGAAGTACAGGAAAACCAAATTGGAGGGTCACTTCCTTTCTGTCAGGCAATAATTCAAACAGGTTAAGTGCATGTTATTGATTCATTTGAGCGGTAAAACCCCACCAAAAAGGACAGACCTTTCTCTGCCAATTGGTATTGCAGTAGATGTAGCAAGTAGTATAGCAAGCAACCAGTAACCACATCCTTCTGTTTCCTCTTGAAGTTCTTGTAGTCTTTTTAACTTCCCCTTTAGATCAACGGGGAATTCATCTACTCAATTAAATAATCAATCGTCCATTAGCATGAACTACAACGTAAATTCCCAACACCTACCACCACAACGAACTCAGAATGGAAAGGACATGAAGGGTAGATTGCAGTTGCGATCAATTTAATATGAAGAAGAATTGCAGATAACTAATAAGAAAATTACGATTGGAATAGTGGGACTGGTGCAAATGGAGTGAATGAATGACCACGACCACGCAGCGGCATTCATGCAGCTGGTCCTGGTTCGTTGGGGGGAAAAGCTTGGATCTTTCAGTGGGCGAGGAATTAATGGCGGAAGGGGACATCGGTACGAGCTGCAAGCCGTCGCCGTCCGCCTCCGTCGCCAGAGAGGAAGAACGATCGAGATTTGGCTGATCCAATCTTGTGGTCACGAGTGGTACTGCGCTGGTAGGCCGGCCGGTCAGCATAGCAGGACTGCACAAGCAAGGCGGCTAGGCATGCAGAGCCGTACGTCGCGTTCTTCTTCTGCTCCGGTTGGTTTGATAGATCATTTCATTTGGGCGCTTACAAAGGAAATTGCACGATCAGTCCTTCAACTCTTAGAGCATCACATTTTTTTTTTTCTTTTCACAAAAGGCATTGATTTTCTATTACTTGCGGCTGAAGCCAGTGAATTACAAAAGATGGGAAATAACATTAAGAATCTGAACCCAATGCAAAGGCAACAAGTTTTTTTGCTCTTGACCTAGCCACTCAGTTAGCTTTCGAGTTATCAATCCTTTTGATGTGGGAGATCTTGATCATAAGGTGCTCTTCGAGTGTTTTCCTGATGCTACTGAGCCAAGCTGTTGCTCGCCATGGCCAAAAATTCTGGTGCCCCTGGAGGGTTTTGACGAGGCTAAGGCAGTCAGATCGTACCAAGCATGGGCTGTGCAGGCTGGCAGCAAGGAGGGTTCCTTTCAGTAATGCTTTCGCTTCTGCTTCAAGTGGTGAAAAACAATGCAGGGGTTCAGCTAACGGTCACAAACTTGTCCATGGGCATTCGTCACAACGACGCCATAAGCCGCCTCCTGTGATGCTTCAAAGAAAGAACCATCACAGTGTATTTCAAAATCATGAGTACTTGGCGGTGGAGTAGGATGATCCGGGGTTGGAGCTAGCTGAATGGGCGGAGGTGCTGATGGTCTTTTTCTAGGACACGTGTCCCATTGATGAGAGGCCAACTCTGCTCGGGAGCTCGTGGATGGGGGCCATGGGTTCTTGCCCCTCAAGATGTACTCATTTCTTGTTCTCCATGTCTGCCACATAAGGAATATAACATTGGTGCAATTATTTGCAATTACATTTGTGGTTTCTTGACACAAATTTTTGCAAATTAACTCACTTTACTTTCATTGTAACTATATTGGTGCAATTAACTTGCAATTGTATATGGGTCCTAACCTTTTTTTTTAATAAATAAATTTTGTTTATAAATACCTTTTTATCCATATTGCAAGTAAATAAACTAAAAATTTATTTTAATTTAAACGAAATCTAGTAATAAACTAATTTGCACACGTTGTCCATAGAAATTATCCCAAAAATTTCAATAATAATTAAATCTATGGTAAACAAAGGCAGATGCTGGCAGTGAAATTATAAAAGAAAAAAACAAATGATAAACTTTTCCAGCGCGGCTTGCATTGAGGAATTGCAACAAATGAAAGCTTTTATATATGCAATAATTACTCTCATCCGTGCAATGAGAAAAAGTAATTGCAAACATCTGTCACGTCAAAGTGCAATTGCGTTCAAAGTCCCGATGGAGATGCTCTTACATCTTTAAATGTTAGATAGGTGTCCGATCTGTTGGTCGGAATGTCATTTGAATATGTATCGACGATGTAAATTCTAATTTTTCAAAATATCTGAACTGTCTATTTCTACCTAGTAGCTAAATTTATTGTGTTTAATTTAAGGCTTATCTTCTTTTTAGGATACAGGGATTAAAGAAGAAGAAAATATCCACAACGACAAAGAGATGAGCTGATAGACGAGACCATTGGCCTTAATCGTAGCGGGGTATATTCTGTAGAGCCTTTTAGTAGTCCCTCAGTCCCATTCGTTCCTCCCTCCCTTTTTGCGCCGAATGCCTGATTGAAGCAAAGTGTGTCGCTCCCGCAGTCAGAGTGAGTGTCCGGATGCTCCTATCGAATGGATGGATTGGGTACACTTTCCTATTTTCGATGCAACGGGAACACTCACTCTAACAAGGGCACCAACAGAGATTGTCACAGCTAATTGTTGTGTTAGTCCAACAACTGCGGTTAGTGATTCAATTGTCAGTCCTCTACCACCGGTTATAAGACCCAGATCTCCCCACTGCAGACGCTCTTGTCATAGAAAGAGTCTTCATTTTCGCAGATTCTATTCTCTTGTCATAGGTCCTATTCTTCCTAAGCCCTCAGAACTACCTGGTGCTTTATAGTAGCGGTTCTTTGCCTTTGCCTGTTGAATGTGTAATTCAACGTTTATGGCAACTCTTACAACTACCGGTATGGGTAGATCGATTGAGTCTCTCTCTTTCGGTAGCTGGTTTGACTCTTTGTGATCGAAAACCTAATTAAATAATAAAAAGATGAAATATAAATATCAAATACCAAAGAAATACTTACGAAAGAGTTAGTGGGCTAGTTAACCGTAGTGGAAAAGTCATATGCTCTTAAGATATTATGTTTCTTTATGTTTTTAGTTTAAAAAATACATAAAATTCATTTAGTGTAATTGGCAACGACTTATGTCCTTGTTCAAATAGACAATCGTTCAAAAATCTCAGGATTGATGCACTTTTTTTATAAATAAGACAAATAACTATAAATACAAATCTACCATTTCTACTTTCACTCTAGTTAGACGAAATTTGAAATACTGAAAAACTGCTCCCAACTCTTTTTTTTACAATAATACCAACTTTTATTCCACCATTGAAAGAAACACGTTAAAAAGCGATTACAAACTTAAAGGAGATCAGAAATTAGATCAAGAATACTAATCCAGTCATTTGGCAGAGTAGATCTAGCTTTTGATCGTGCCATCCAATCAGCTCTAACGGTCAACGTCCTTGGAACCTCTTTAACCGAAATTGCAGGGTTATTCCTAAGGATATTAACCATTGTTCTAATCCAGACTGCACATCTCCAAGGCGATCGAGACTGATTATGGTTCAGGGCCTTCACCGACATTTGACAGTCAGATTGTACTGTACATATCGATCCATATTCGTGTGCTAATTTAATACCTACCAAGAGTACCTTAGCTTCCAACTCAACCATTATATATTTGTAAACTAGTGTAGAGCCCGACCAATAGTCCGGGTAGTGTTGGGATCATTATCTCATTTGCTGCGAACTCTATTGTTAGCTATAATTATGATTAAGTAGAGAACGAAATTGACCAATGTAAATGTTGGCATGCTAAAATAGATTGAACTTGTTTAATTTTTTTTTTTTTTTGCATTACAGGAGGCACAAGGCCAAAGAAGAAGAAACAAGGGGGAAGGGATCAGATGTGAGAGATGGGAGAAGTGGTCACTATGTTTCTAGGAAAAGTGATTCCTCGCTGATCATCCTGTAAGATGGGAATGACCTCTTGCGGCGGGTCCTCTAATTCATACATACCGTAGGGATAGACGAGACTGTGCTTCGAGAGCCAGTCCGCGACTCTATTCCCCTCTCGGTAGGTATGAACTAGGTTCACCACCCAATCAAGAGAGATCTTCCTCCTGATGGCCGAGAGAAGAGCAGCATAAGGGTGGAGAGGGTCCGTCCTGTTTTTCACAAGTTGAATAGCCAACTGCGAATCTGACTCGATGATGGTGGTCCTGTAGCCTTTATTCCAAACGAGCCTCAACCCATGATAAATAGCCCACAACTCGGCCAGAGTAGCCGAACAGGCCCCCAAGCTAGAAACAAAACCACCTAGCCAGCAGTTGTTAGAGTCACGAACTACTCCTCCAGCCCCGGCCAGGCCCTGGGACCCTCCTGCAGCCCCATCAACATTGACTTTCATCCATCCTGCAGGTGGCGGCTGCCATCCGATCTCAGTCATCACCCTGTTCGGCGTCGGGTTTCCCCTTCCACCAAGCGGCGTCGGGGCATTCCAAGCCCGAATCCAAATATCAGCTTTGGTCTTGATTGCCTGCATAAGAGAAGTGGCTGACAAAGTCTTATTAATACCTTTGAAGACTCCATCATTTCTGTTCTTCCACAAACACCATAGGGCAATCCCGAAGAAGGCATCCCAAGGGAGTCCGGTGGCTGATGAATCCTTGCTGGTTAGATTGCTGTGTAACCATTCATCCCACGGGAGGTTGAAGAACTCATGCTGAGCCGCCACGGGAACTACACGATGCCAGAAGTAGGCTGCAGGCGGACAGCTCCGGAAAATATGAGAAAGGCTCTCGGTCTGGGAAGGGCATCTGTAGCAGGAGTCCTCCTGGGTAAGCCTTCTATGGGCTCTGAGCTGGTTCGAGCTCACCTTTCCCTGTGCAAGCAACCATATGAAACATCTAACCCGCTCGGGTACAGTGAGATGCCAAATGGCTTTCCACCAACTCTGTTGCGTGCTAGTGGGAGCTGCCTGAAGGGTTTGGTAAGCACTCTTCGTAGTAAAACGGCCATCCGTCGTTGGGGTCCAGAACAAGTGGTCTTCCTCCGTAGCCAAGGGGTCCACAACGTGGGCTGTTATTCTGTGCAAAATCTCCTGCGGGAGAAGCGAGCCAAATTTCTCCACTTTCCAATTTCCTTCCTCATCAACAAACTCGGACACCGGCAGCTGAAGGTCTTCCTCCGAAATCAGCCCCGTCGCCATCTCGTGAAGGGGTCCCTGCAAAATCCAGTTATCCGACCAAAAATTAGTCTGACTACCCCGATGAATATTCCAGGCGCAACCCCGTTTAAGTAAATCAGCTGCTTTATTAAAGCTAGCCCAAGTAAAGGAACTTCCCTGAACACGTTTAAGAATATCCAGGTGCTGCCGGTTTCCTCCATACTTAGCGCGCACCATCTGGACCCAAAGGTTCTCTTTCTCCTGAACGATGCGCCAGCAGCCTTTAGCTAGCATGGACAGGTTCACCTCTCTACTTGACCGGATACCAAGCCCTCCATTATTTTTTGGCAGGAGCAGTTGAGGCCATCCCACCAAATGGATATTCCTTTTGGTTTCCGTGTCCCCCCCAGATGAAATCTCTATTAATCCTATCAAGCGACCTGCAAACATTCATAGGGAGAAGCTCTGTTTGCATAGGGTAAATAGGAATGGAAGCAGAGATAGATTTCACCACCGTGATCCGGGCCGCTAGAGATAGATGTCTGGTTTTCCAGGGTGCGAGTTTTCTCTGAATTCTCAGCACCTTCTCTCGATATCTACTCTTCGTAACTCGACCGTGGATTGCCATGACTCCAAGATACCG